GCCCCTACCTCCGCCAACCCCTCCACCCCCTCCCCCCCACCCCCGTTTTATTCAAACGAGCATTTTCACCCACTGTATTCAGCAAATATCTACAAATGTGAATACATATGTAATTATTTATCCACCGTTGTGAGCGAAAAGTATTTTCTCGTGCTGTAAAAGGATCCGAGTAGAAGAATCATTCAATAATCCTCGATCATTTGGAACATTGTAAAGAATATGCTTGCTCTTAAGTAAACTAGAATTGCATTTTAGGGTAAACCATTCATCAGGATAGAAGATAATTTTATTCAATTAAAATATTATAAACTTTTTCCGCTTGAAAATGTTACCGTCATACTAATTGGATGAGGTTGAACAAACTTAACAATTGTATTATTATATTGTTATGTATTATATCATTAAGCAAAAGTTGTTTTCCATAACTACCATACTCGTTGAGTAATCAATCAATATTATGGACCGTTCACTTATTCGTCACAATGTTTGCCCACGTGCAAGAAACACAACTACTCATTGGAGTGGTTCTTGAGCTTGTTTCGGACAAAGACATACTCGCAGAGAGAGATGGCCTCCGTTCATTAGAAAAAGCACATTGGATTTCACATTGATCAGACATCGTTCGTTTTAGACATGAACGATGCGAACTGCTCAATGGCTAATAAGTGATATATCTTTTCAGAAGCATTAAAAACCCTTCCTTAGAGCCTTGTCACGTCTGCGTTCATGGCTAAAATTTGTAGCATCAAAACTCACGGTGGTATCACAGATTAAAGATGGAAAGCGCTTGATTGGGAATTAAAAGCTAAACAAATAACAACAACAACCCACACCGAAGACCATCAAGAGTGCTTGGTGCCTCTGAACAATCGAATCGGCTAATCCAAGGTTCATACTCCAAATTGACTGAGCCATTTGCGCAAGGTGATGACCGTGGACCGTGTAGCTCCAGGGTTACGGTTTGAAGTCTCGACCCGAATGTTCGAGATTCCTGATAGGGAAACAAGCAGTGTACGCACTGCTGACCGGTCCCAAAACAGGAATATTCTTAGTTCATTTAAGATAAGGGATTTATAGTGAGTAGTTTGTAGCCACATAATTCATCAATTTATTTAAGCTTCATTTATTTTTTTATTGATCGGTTTACTTTTGAGCAGCGAATGAAAAAAATTATAATTTGTTTAGAAAACGTGTATCAGTTAGAAAGATTGAACCTACATACCATTGAACATGAAATATTGTTCAATCCTAAGACGTAATATTTCATCTTAACAAACGAATAGGCTAATCCAGGCTTGTTACTCTAAAAATACGTGTTTCCCCCATTTATCCTCTCATTTGTATCACCCATTGCAATGTTGTCAGTTCTCTTGTATCACTGTTTGCAGTTGCACAACCTTGCGAGTCACGATGAAATTTGTACTGATAAGAGAGTTACATTTCAAAATTAAAAAATATCTCACACAAAATAGCATGGAAATCCATTTAACTTTACCAAATGATTACTCTTTCATAAGGGTTTTTATTTTAGTCGATAGACATTACTGACTAATGGAAGTATTCTAGTTTGAATATTGTTTACTCTCATTTAACGAGTTTCCGGATCGATCAATTTGTAAACGATTTGAGAATCCTTCATCATCGAAACTTTAACTCATATCCATTTAAATGCGCTACACCATATCCCAATCGATTACGCCGTATACAAGATCCTAAATTTATACGCTTTTGCACTTTTTCTATTTCTGTTTAACTGCATTACTGCCCTGTGTAATTGTCGATTCTTATTCTGACCTTGACGCACCAGTTAAATCGACATTGTGTCAATCTAGTCGTCAGTGCCTACTTTTTCTATGTATTTGATACTGTAATTGTTTATAGAATCTCGTTCAATGTACTTTTTACCGCCAAAAGCTGTTTTATTTTTTTGACAAGACTGTGCGGTTAGACTCGATCAACAGGATCGGTATTTATTGTTAGCTGTCGCGGTTCTACCTAGCTGTTTTATCCGTTGGTTTCATGCTGTTATTCGTGCATCCATGGTATATTCCATAAGCGTTATTTGAATTTTGTGTATCGTACTATCTGATTACGTTTGCGTATTGCAAGTCCTGTGTCAAATTCATTCAATTACCACCCAGTAATTGAGATTTAAATGGAATCAAAAAATTTATCTGTGCGTTAGAAACCGGGATAAATGATCTACTGCAACAGTGACCGTCAGTGGCCAAGGTGGGGCATGCATTGTAGGAAACTGGCAAATGCTATTTGATAGTCAATTTGGTGAACTTTGTGCAGAAACGATTACCTCCGGTGCTCAAAAATCAATAAAGGAAAATAGAACATTGATCAAATGAACTTAGTCTACCTGTGTCAGTGCAATTAGTCATTTTTGTGAATAAATTTCAATCATTTTTTTTGTTTACTAATATATTACTATTTTACAACTGATGCAGCCGCAACTGTCCTCGAAGTTCGGCCATTACACATTTTAGTGACATTTGACTAACAGAAGCAAAAAGATAAGTGGATATTGGTATAGATATGTTATTTCTGATGTTTTAGGCAGTATCTTACTCAATCTGGTGAATGTGGCTCGAAACACTGAACGTTGGTAGGAACAAATGCGATGAAACCGTCAGGTTGTTGTTGTTGCACGAGTTTGATCAATAACTCGATATCGTGTCAGAACGTATTATATTTCTTTTCTGCAAACCCTGTTTCCTATACTATTCTGTTTCCTAGAGAATAAATCACTTTTTGGTTTCTTTTGAACTTTGAAGCAAATCACGTAGTAGTTCACTTTTGTTTTGTTTTTGTTCTGATCGTTTCTAGGACCTCCTAATGCCCGGGGTTAGTTTAAAACTAGGCGTTACCACGGTTATTGGTGAGGCCCAAACTTGAATGTGCAAAGATAAGGTGTACAAAAAACACATCGTCAATAAGTACGATAAACTTCTCGCGCAAGAATGAAAACGGATCCTGATGTTGATCAACATGTGACTTCCAATAAATAGAATCAATTTATTTTGAATATCTAATAACTGTTATGGATCGTAAGTTTTGCGCTCAACAACACACAACACTGCGTAATGTTTTTGTTCCCACGGGGACCGGATGTGAGCAATTCTAATTACCGCGCACAAGTGTGTTGCGTTCCCAGTGGAAACTGCGGGCACCAGTAAGCCGGTGATTCTAAGCGGATCCAAACAATACTTTCCATCATTTTAATCCATTTTTATCCCCGGTATCTTCTGTGACCATTCACTTGTTTGTTTTGCCGTTTTACAAGATGTCAGTGAAATTACGCTATCGTTACCCCCACGTGAACTAGTCAAAATCCTGAATTGTGGTACAAAATAATCATCGGTTTTACAAGATGGTGCAACAGGATTAAACAAAAACGGTAAAAGTGATGTGGATAACCCGAAAACCACTTTACCGGTTTATCACAAAACGCATGTCGCCTTAGATGGACCCTTTTTCAAGTAGAGGAAAATCAATAAAAGTGGTACGAATGTAGTGAGTGACAAAAATAAAAATCTTCGTTTCGGTTCCAAAAGTGCGAAGTCAGTTATCGATTGCTGAACCTGTGGCCAGTTTTCATAATCCGGAATACCTCCCCCCCCCCCCCGCGCTAGGGACGGGGGGGGGGCGAACAGCGTAACCAATGAGAACCGTCTTTAATTAAAACCCTGTGAAACGTGTACGGCTTTTCTGCACACATACACCTTCTTTCGGAAGTTTGCCTGAGCTACATTGGTTCCCATAAATACTTGGAGCAAAATATAATAAATCATTCTATTTATTTGTTGTTTTCACCCTCCAAAGTGATTCACTTTTAACAATAAATTAATCATGGTTAATATATTCCATAAACATTTCAACTGTTCCTCTACAACCAAATCAACGTGCCGGATGCTCGACGGATTCGACAGACACAAACACACACATACAAATTGAATTCAAAAAAATGAATGTGGCTATCCATTTCAAGTTGTTGTTTCACTTTTCACTTCCACCAAATGATTTTGATATCCAAATGACGAATAAGTCTTAAGGGCAAACCAAACGATTTCCATTTTTTCAGTGTTTTTCATTCGAGTTAAATACTCAGACAAACAAAACAGAAAAGGGAATCGCAAATCAAAAGAATCATTGATCAATAAGCTGTCCCAAGCACTCCTTTTGTAGTCTCTTTTCGCGCCAAACCATAGTAGTCAACCGGCGAGTAGAAGCGATGGTGTGTCGCGGAGCCGGTTTTTTAGGTCAGGTGAGATATTCCATTTGCCTGAGAGCAAATTCCGGACCGTATTAGCTAGTAGCGTCCTGACAACATGCCTGATGTGAAATTTATTGTGTATACAACAAGTCACCTTTGACCTTGACATTCATGTTGAAATACATTGTCAGATTCGTAAACATGGCATCAAATGCGTTGATCTCCGATATTCGATTATCCCGAATATCGATGCACAGGGTTCCAAATGATTGGCTGGAATTCTGTCAGAGGAAAACGGGGTCCATACTTGTCGTTTTATACTATTTATAATGAAGTAATATCCATGATAACTACGATACCATAATTGTTACACACATGTATGAATAAATTAGCAGTACCCGGTTACACACCTCCCAAAGGGAGCAAGCATAATCAATCCTGACGTGTAAATATGTGAAGTATTTCCCAATGGAGCTGGATGTCCCCAAAGGATATAATTTTTTTTATATATGACTCTCAGTAGTGACGTGAACACTTGCGAAAAGGGGATAGAACAAACCTCAATGTAACATGGAAACACAATCACAGATTTCTCTCAAGAACTCGGTCGAATGCGGGAGAAACTATGATCCCTGAAGATTGGAAGACCATATTTGGGTTTTCTAATGAATTGTATTTAGTATTTAGAACCCGACCAGTTTCCTCCGAAAACGTTTCATGTATTTAGGTATTTCGAATTGACAAAAAAAGA